TTCGTGGCATTTCAACATTTTAAGGTAAATATAGTTTTAACACAATTCAATTCCAAAGAAAAGAGGACATAAACCCGTGGCATTTCTACATTTAAGGTAAATATAATCAACATACAATACAATTACATAGAATATGATCTATAAGGGAATGTGAATCCAAAGGTTATATTTAGTGGGAGAATGGGCCCGTGAACATTTGTCCGAGGGATCATGTGAGAAGAGAACAAGGGTACTGCCATATTCGACATCCCGTAGTTGCTTGTGGCACTTCGGTGTTTTGCATGGTTGACATTCTTTCTGCTTGCAGTAGCATATTGGGTTACATAACTTAATATGAAGCAGAGGATTCGCAGCCAACACGGTCTTGACCTCGGACCCGTGAATGAAGGCATGAGCGCAGGCTAGCCGAGGGAGGGGAAGTTCAACTATCTCCAGACTTGGTGCAGTGGCGGGACTGATGGCAGACAGAAGTTTCTCGGGATTCATGTCCGCTACTATCCGCAGGTGCCGCATGCCTGACAATGACGGAAGCGCACAGATCAGTGCTTTCAGCTGGGGTAGGGGCTTCTCGACGCCATCAAGATCAAAATCATAATCATCCTCATCTTCATCGAGCGTGTTTACAATGGATAGCTTCTCCACGCGGCCACAGGACTTTCCCTGCGCTAGGGCCATGACGAGGTCCACGCCAACGTTAGAATCCTTGCTAGCCAAGGGCTTGTATTGCAGTTCAACTTCGCGCAGATGCTTGGCGCCCCGGAGAAGCTTCGCAGCCGACGCCCCGGCAGACTTGTGTTGACGTTTGGTCCCCACGACGAGATTAAGGACCCTGAGCGTCTCGCAATCAGCCAGGACCTCCAGCCCGGGCATAGTGCAGCAGGTCAGCTCGCGCAGGTTCAGCACGCCGGCGAGCAAGGACGCGGTCGATTTGAAGGTCACTTCATGCGGTGACTTTCCTAGGTCAACGACCTCAAGGGTTGCGGCGTGACCGGACAGTATGAAGTTCGCGAAATGCTTCGAGATAGTGTCGGACAGGGTGTACTTGAAACGACGCAGGGACGACGCCAAAATGGTGCAACCAAGAGCGGGGTTGGACCTATCTGGTGCGCAGATTTCGAGAACCTCGAGTTCTTCCAAGCCGGGTGTTGACGCCATTGTCGCCACAAACGCAGGGGCGTCAGTTCCGGGGTTCAAATCAAAGTGCAGGCGTCTAAGTCGGCCGAGAGATTCTTGCCTGGAGAGCACAGCTGCGGCCTGGTAAGAACTGGCAATACCAGAGCTGGCGTCTGGGTGTGGTCCCATACAGATTGAGAGCCTCAACTCTTCCACGGCACACCTCGTAGACGTGTAGGCTAGGCGGCAGCGTTGTGGGGGAAGGTCGAGCTCCAACACCCGTAGACACGGCGCCAGACGCAGTACCGGGCACACGCAAGGCATCGCGGGCGCGGGCGCGCGACCCTGCAGCTCAGCGACCCTGGTGAAAAGAATTCGCCGCATTTTGCCTGAGACCTGTATGAAACTCGCCTTACACGATAACAACGACGTCTTATCGGTTTCTAAGCAGGCAAGCATCTTACTGGAAAAACAAGGGTAGGACTCAATGCCATTGTAGGAGTGTAAAATTGTAATGTCCTTGTAAAGGCACAAAAAGGGGCTAAACGCATTCAAATTTAGCACCCTTGGGCAGTTTTCATGCTTGTACGGGTGCTATTTTGTAATGCCGTTCAAGTTCAAGTTCAAGCATTTAATACCCTTTGAGTCCTACCTTTGTTTTTCCAGTAATCTAATGGAGGAAATACCAGGTTATAACCTCGTTCACTTTTGCACTATGCAACCCACCCGCTCGGCTCCATCCGGGACTGCATACCCACCAGGCGCAGGGGATCTGCTCCAAGACCAACGCGCCGCTCCGCCACTGTTGTTGCAGCCAACGCCCCGGAAAGGTCATGGTCATGTATATGCCCAGGCCTCCAAAGACCTCGGCGTTCTCGCGGATTGCGCGGTCTACGGCGGGGCGTTACAAATAGTTGGTTCACGGTAACCCCTCATGAGGGGGTAACTCACGGGTCCGCGGGGGTAGCTCGCGGTCCGCGAATCCTCCCCGGCAGGATCCAAGGACCGCGAGCTACCCCCGCGGCCGCGAAAGCTACCCCGCGCCCCCGCGAGCTTTACCCCCACGGACTCGCGGGTTTACCCCCGCGAAACTGCGAACAACCCCCTTGTAGTGCCCCGCCATAGACCGCGCGAACCGCGAGAGCGCCTTTCCGGGTCGTAGGCTGCAAGACCAGTGGCAGAGCGACGCGTTTGCCTTGGAGCCGGTCACCTGCGCCTGGTGGGTATGCAGTCCGGGATGGAGCCGTGCGAGCGGGCGGGTGAGAGGCCGAGTGAGCGGGGTTAATCATGTGGGAACGTCTCGTTTTTTTCAAGAACTGCTTGAAAACCAAAGACGTCGTTTTCATCGTGTATGAGACTGATTTCATTCGAGATTCAGATAAAATTTAGAGTTGATTCAGTCCATTTTCGGACGAGAGTAAGGCTACTTCAGGTCTCTTACTTTCATCTTAGAGTCTTAATCTCGTCTGAGAATGTGTTTGCAAATCGTACCAGGGGAACAAGCCGTCGTGAAACGTAGTCGCGAGCTTCCGGTGGCGCCAGGCGTCTCGGTCGAGGGCCAGCGCGCCGAGCCTCTTGCACACCAGCCGGCAGGCGAAGAGGTCCGGGACGTCCAGGTACTGCATCACGTTGAGCAACAGGTCATCCGAAAGCAGCTCCATCATGATGCTCCTGTAAAAACCCGACGGGGAGAGCGCGGTGAGGTCGAGAAAAACACGAGCAGGGTTACAGGGTAAATGTGGCGGAGGGGGGGGGGGCGACCCGAAAAAAAAGAGGGTATTCCGCTCGAACACAATCGGAACCTAAAGAAGAAGAGCATGACTACCCGATCTGTTTCCCCCTGAACGCTGATTGGCCAAAGATGGCGTGGCTGTGGCGGTCAGCCAATGAGCGCGCAGAGGGAAACAGATCGAGCAATCATGCTTTTCTTCTTTAGGTGCCGGTTGGCTTGCGGCGGAATACCCTATTGTTCACTATTTGTATGCCGGAGGTTCGCGATCTCCGTTTAAGTACGCTATGAGTACGCTCAAGTGCGCCGTGCGTAAGGGGGGGGGGGAGATCCATCAGCACGGGCAGTACTAGCTAGACGCGGGCACGAGGGGGCAATAGCTCCCTTTTAAAGTGTACACATGATTCCCGAAATCCTTGATTCCCAGTGATTCCCGTCCACTTATGTTCATTTCTTATGTTTTTCTAGTGGTAGAAAACGCTTATTTCGACTAATTTGCACGATTTCCACTAGTCTCCCGCTTATTTAAAGCGATTTCTGTTGATTTTTATTAATTTTTATCCTAATGATTCCCAGGCAGGTGTACACATGATTCCCGGAGTTATTGCCCCCTCGCGCGGGCATATCGTCGTTTACGGTATACATACTAATTAATTCCTGAAGTAAGATGGGTCGCGGTCCTAAGCGCAACGCTTCACCGATAATGCCATAACTGATTTTCTGTATTGAGTTAGGTTTGATACTTTTGGTGTACTTCCAAACCCTATATTTCCTAACCCGGCAAAGGGGGGAGGGGAGAATGGCGAGGTACTACTACGACACTTACGAGATGGGGTAGCGGTGAACCCCGATTTCTGAAAAACGCCGACGCGACATCTACACAGAACACAGTACACCGTGGCCTAGGCCACGATCGCGATCGAACTGCTGTTTTTTTCCCGCGCATCGTTTCTTTACCTCACAATTTCCCCGCAATCCAGGGTTTCTCCTTTTATGTTTTGGCGCGCTTTGTCACGGCCTCCTACTCCACGTCACTCCGCGTTCACACGCCCTGATCATCCTCCAGACCCGTGCAAGAGGGGGTGGG